GAAGGACGAAACATCGATGAAACTGATAAAGAATCTGAAAATGGAAGGATTTAGAAGTCAGTAGAACAAGACACGCTTCCACACGATCAGATTTATAGTATTTTTAATTGAATTGTAGGGTGATAACGTAAAAACAGCGAGTATGTAAGATAAGAGAGTAACTAAAGTGTGTGTGAAGACAGTCACTGGTGGCGTTCGGTTATCTACCCCGTTAGGTAACACCTCTAAGGTAGAGAAAGGTGACCGGTTCTCCTTGCAAGACACCGGGCTCATCCATTCGCGTCAGGTTACCAGGAAGGTCGACCACATTCAACCTGCCCTTTTCAGAGCGGGATGGTTGGAGAGCCCTGAGGCTTAAGGTGCATTTCACCTGCGTTATCAAAAAAAGTGTAGAGAGATGACATAAGATAAAATCTAACATATCCAACGCCAATTGTCCTTGCTACCTAAAAAGTACCGCTACCGCTTCAGTTTTCTAAGGTTTTTTGCGATCAACAGCAGGATCAGCAGATTTCAGAATCGTCTTATTGCGTTTTTTTTCTGTGATATCTCTTTCAATTTCTAAACTGTATTTCCTTCCACTTTTTTCCAGATAATAGTAATATCTAGAAATAATACTTTTTTGAATTACATTTTAGGGTCATGTTGAAGCCATTAAAACATTTGGAATAAAGCTATGTTTGTAATAATCATAAATTAGTTAAATTCAAAGATAGTTGAAGGTTATCCAATAAATTATATTATAAACTAGTTTTTTCTAGGTTGGCAATGGAAGTGATCTCAATTGACCAGGAGAATATGACCCGGAAAGTACGGTTTGATAACCTTTAAATTGCTTCCATTTTTTCTTAACAAAGATTTGTCACGAATCATTCATTATTTAATAGTAGAGTTATAAATAAGTTTGTGGAAATAGTACGCAGATATGCGGCACGTGTGAGTGTGACACACAATCGTGCGCAGTATCATGCATAGTAAACAATCATAGTCTATATTATGTCTATGGTTCTTATAATTTATTAAAACATTGCTAATGAATTCAATTACTTTAAGATAGTTTCATCTTTTTTTGTTATAATAATAGATATGGGATTTAAAAATCTTATAAATTGAACTAACTGTAAGTAACAACGCATAAGTAAATGAAATTATTAATTTAGGTGTGGCTTCCCGTAGGTGTTTTTGAAATTGTTCCAGTAGTTTAAGTGCCTGTTCGATGCCAATAAACAAACAATCAAATCCATTCTCTTTCTAATAGTAGCATAGATAATAAGTTATAATAATAAAAGGAGTGGTAGGTACGGGGAATAATATGAATTCCAAACTGACCACAATCTTCACAAACAGCAGGCAAATTCATTTTTCATAAACAATGATTTTTTACAATCAATTGTTATCTATGAATGATAAATATTTATATGAGTTTGTTATTTTTTAGCAAAAATGTTAATTACATACTACATGACACTATATTTTCTTTCTCTTATGTATAAATATGTAACTTATAGCTTTGATATATATTTTAGTAGGTTATAATGATATTTTAGAGAGTTCACTCAGTATTTTTGTAAATCCTCATTGATAAACACTATTTGAAATATACCTACTATTCAATTAAATTAATTTTTCATGTATTTTCGTTGCCATGCCCATACAATTTGATTGAAGCTATATAATTTATTATTTTAATTTACCGTCGGTTAATATCAATAACTAACTAATTATATCGATTAATAATCGCTACTAATAATAGGGGGATCTTGTTTTATAATCTGTAGCATAAGTAAGAGTTATGTGCGATGTTTCATATTCCCGCCACAACTGTGTCACGGCCGCTGCTGCGTTTTCATTGCCACAAAACAGCACACATTGATAGAACTTTAAAAATGACGCGCAAAAATTTCAAGTTCCACTCGTTCTCTCGTCTAACAGTCATTCGTGTATGTCTCACTGCAATAATGATCATTATACTATATACATAAGTCCGTCTCTTGTACCAATTCAATTGTCAATAAAGTTTGTTAATGAAGAAGTATTTAAAAAAAAATTAAAGCACTAAAAAGCACCTCCTCGAGATGGCGACTCTAGCAAAAGTTGATTTTTGCAGGAAACGAATGGACCAAAGACAGTCATTTCTGTTTCTTTTAACTAATATATTAAAAAAATGAAATTAGAAAAGTTCGAAACTTAAATATCAATACAAATACGAAAAAGTACAAATAGAATATGAGTTGTTTATTGAGTTTTGAAAACTACTACTTTTAAACATGAAAGAAAACCGGAAGGGTTGTCATGGAGAAATCAAGAACGTACCGTAGCGACATCTAGTTTGATTTCGGGAACTAATGATTTTTTTAAATACTCATTAAATAAATACGAGTAAATAATAGGTATATATCACATCATCTACTATCCATTAAGTAATAGTTCAGTCTAACGTGCGGTTGATGGAAAGAAATTGATCCTTAGGTCGCTGATTGTACATCTAAACTCTATTAGTTGTCGTGTTCTATAATTAAGATGTATAATAATTCATTTATTCATCATAAACGCTGGAGGGAGAGACGGGATCGAAGCTTTATGATGCGCAGATGGTGTCGCGTCATTAATTTCGCCATGTAAATCGTGGTGAAATCACCTAGTAACAATAAAGTAGCTCGGGATGTACTAGAAAAGCGCCGCGGCCCGCGGTCGTTGTTGTTAAGCAACTTTCATAAAGGTCAGTCACGGGATGGGAGACCAAAAAAATATTAACTCGAGCTATTCCGTGCTTCGGAAGGCACGTTAAGTCGTTGGTGCCCGCTGCATTTGCAGTCGTTAATACCCTCCAATCCGCATTACGTATATGCCCAGTGGAAATTGGGGAAAACCACTAGCAAACGAATCGCCCTTTAGGCCTACCATGGATGTTAGCTCAATTTTGAGATATGGCATAGTTTTATGTTACAACCCACGCCACACGAGTAGAATCCTCATTGCTCAAAAGGCATGCATCCGTGCCATGTATGATGTAAACGTTTTGATCTCATGTAGGCCTTTATTTAAGGATCTTAATATTTTGACTGTAACATGTTTTACTTACATTTGAAATATGTGTCTTTGTTAGAAGTCACCCAGAACTGTTTCCTCGTTTGTATGATGTTCCCCGGCCATACAGTTTTGGATGTCCCGATAAACACATACTCCCAGCAATGCGGAGAGTCCTGGGCTCTAGAAATAGTCATTCCATTGCTGTAATTAATTGGTCAAATGATATTAAAATGGTCAAAACTAATTTAAATAAAAACTTAAAAAATGGTTTACCGAGAACTGTATTTATAGCTCAAGTGACTTCTTTGATTATAAATCTTGACATCCTATTAATCCTATTAATCCTATTAATATTATAAATGTGAAAGTTTCTTTGTTTGGATGTTTGTACGTCAATCACGCCGAAACTACTAAACGGATTTTGATGAAATTTGGTATACAGATAGGGTGTTAGCTGACTTAGATAATAGGATACTTTTTATCCCACTAAACATTTCCCTAGGGTCCACGCAGGCGAAGCCGCTGGCGAAAGCTAGTATAATTATATATGTGTGTAGTGATGACGTGTGTAATAATTATATATTTTATGATGTTAGTTAAAATGCGTATAGGCATCCATTTTTTTGGTTTTTTAAAGTATTCTAGTTAATTGTGACTTTTCAATCTGATTATGTATAACATTATTATTTTAAATTAATAATTACTATTGGCTACTGACAGTTTTATAATTGATAATAAAATTAAGATCCAATTTTTATAACACATTCTTGCAAATAAAGGATACTTATTCAGCTTTAAAGTGATAATGGCATATCAGTGGCCCAATAATTTATTCTGTAGAATAATAAACTAAACTTTTTTGAAACGAAGAGATTTCGCTGAGGTAACTTTGTTCTTTTGGATCTTGGATTAGCTAAGTATATCACCAAAGTTTGAAATAGATCAATATCATTGAAATAAATAGTATAATGTGTTTGTAAATAATGTTCCTATCACTAGTTAACTACATAAAGCACTTATGGAATCAAGTTACTCACATAAAGGCTACATTTAAGGCAAGGTCGGCTATACTGGATGTTCGCAATCCACTTAACTAAGCCTCAAGAGAGTTTTTCGTAATATATTAGTAACATGGGGACAAATCGACCTCAACGAAGTTTCTTGAAATATGATTTTTATATTAGTTTACTAATAAAAATCTATACTAATATTATAAAGCTGAAGAGTTTGTTTGTTTGAACGCGCTAATCTCAGGAACTACTGGTTCGAATTGAAAACTTCTTTTTGTGTAGAATAGACCATTTATCGAGGAAAGCTTTAGGCTATATAACATCATGCTGCAACTATTAGGAGTGCAGAAATAATGGAAAATGTGGAAAAAACGGGGAAAACTATTCATCCTTGAGGGCTTCCGTTGCGTGCGCTGCGAAAACGGTTCAAGAAACCAAAAATATACGTATGAAAGAATTATTCCTCTTGAAATGATCTAAAAAAATGTCCTCGACAAAATATGTCTATCTTTTAAGATTAACTCATTAGAACAGTTTTTTATGGTAATCAAATTTGGTCGAAATTAACGCATTATTTGTTAAGAGTTGTATCAACGTAATATAAATGTATAATACAAGACCACGCGGGCGAAACCGCTGACGAAAAGCTAGTCATTAATATAGAGGATTCCATTAAGTTTTCGTGACCACTATATTGAAGTAATAAGTTATTTTTTGCGGAAAAGATCATGCGATATACATACAAGCATTCCCCCTAGATAGCGAACCAAGAAAATGTCATCCTGTCATTTAACGTTGCCGTATTTGACCGGGGTTGGTTAGCAGTTTGGGAGTCCCGATTTAAGGCATGATAAGTATTTCTTCTGTGTTTAACTTCTGGGTGTTATATTTAACTGCTTAGTTTTGGATTTAAGTAATAATTGCGGTGTTGACTAATGCCTATTTATGATGATGTTGCAGTGGGAGAATGCGCGGGCGCACTCCGCGATGGCGATGGCTGGTGGCCGGTGGTGGGGCGCTGCTCGCCGTGGCCGCTCTAGGATCAGCGCTCGCTTGGAGTCTCATATTCGATTCTGTTCTGGCTTCCGTAAGTATATTATTGTTAAGCGAGTGATATAGTAAAACATATTTGAATTCCAATTTAACTAAGAAAAAAATCAGATTAGTCTTTTACACTGAAACTACTTCACTGTTGTCATTAGGATCTCCAGTAGGAAAAGATTATTCAAAATTTAACGTCGTTAATCATTAAAGTGTTAACAAAATAATTGCGTAATTTAAAAGTTATTCATTAAAAGTTAACAATTATGTAGCTCTACCTCTTTATTTTGTGTTGCGACCTATCGATCTCGTGATCGAATCTCGCCTTCGATTTGAGTGTCGTGACATCGGTGTGTCGTTACATCGAATTTGAGTCTCGTGACAGCGACGTGACGTTAATGTGAGTGTCGTGACACTGATGAAACGTCAATGTGAGTGGCGTGACACTGATGTGACGTCAATGCGAGTGTCTTGACATCGAGTGGAGTGTCACTGATGTGATGTCAATGCGAGTGTCTTGACATCGAGTGGAGTGACTACGATGTGATATCGTGTTGAGTATCGTGACACTGATATGTCGTCAGTATATATTTAATTTAGGGACTTGCCTTGCCTAGGAAAATATGCCCTTCCCATCGCAATCTATGTCTATGAGCTAATTTTCAAAGACATTTTGTGAAGCAAGTTTTTAACTGTATTATCATGATTATGGCACTCCCTTGACACTTGCGCGCGGGGCAAGAGTCCGCATACCACAATTCCCCCTCCTTGATCCAGGCCTGCATCTCAATGAAATATGAACGACCTGCATTATTTCATTGTACTATCTACCTGAAGTTCAATATTATTAGTGCTATCTTCCTCACAAATCAATGACAGATATGTAAAAGGACATCTGGTAGATAGCACCATGGCAAACTACAAGTAGTGAAGATTCAAATGAATTGAACTAAGATAAGCGAGATTTCGACATTACACGCATAGGTATTGGTATTCTCAATGGAATCTCGATAGTCATCTCTAAGCTCGACTCTAGAATTCACATGTCAAATAAACAGTTGGAAAGTTAGTGTTCGAATTTTGCGGTAAAATATTCTAAAACTATATAATGTCTCCTTATTTTCTTTTTCTAAGTAGTTTAAAACAAGCATATGCCTTAAATATAAATACCAGTCGACATCAAGGTGATAATTTTCGACACTTAAACATATTAAGACGAATTATGAATTATCTATGAGGTTAGGTAAATGTTTGAAATCTCCTATTAGAAATAAAGAATGAAAGATTCAGTATACTCACTATTTTCATAAGAGCTGATCATAGATTGTGTGCCTAAAAATTTACCACTACCTCAAGGTCCTCCGTGCTTCAGAAGGCAGGTTAAGTCACATCACTGTTGGCAACAGACTTCAACTACGCGTTTATTTCTTTTGATAAATCAAGAAAACTGAAAACTTAACTACAAACATAAACATTTTTTGGGAACAAATTTTAATCGCACTCCTAATTCGACTTTCCGCCAAAAATACAATATCGATGAAACAACAACAAAACGTATATTTCAACCCAGCCACAATTTTCTTAATTTAATCTATAAATGGTTGGCGTCATGGTTATTTGGCCATAAACCACCTCGGCAATTCTTTTCTTTAATGTTTGCGAGATTTTATAATGAATAGTATAAATTATTTCATTGAGATATATTTGTGAAGAATACGCTTTTGATGTCGTATTTAATTTAAAAATATAAATCAAGAATAATTGATTCAGATATTCCATCCCTAGGTCATTCCGAACCTCACTTCACTTGTGTTACTAAACGTTTAATAAATATCAATTCAAGAATAAGTGGATTCGCTTACAAAGTGAGTTCGATCATCTGAGAGAATCCTAATTCGGATTTTAACGGAATCGCTCTACAGTTCTTGTGCATACGGCTGATATTTTTAAAGCTTAATAATTTAAACTCAGGCAATTCAGCTTTGGAAATATGACAGGTAGGGATTAACTTTCATCATTTGTAAACGTACTTTAAATCACGTGTAAAAACAAAATTAAATTAGGCAACGTCGCGTGATATTAGAAGCCATACAATGCTAATAGCATATCTTATACGTGTGACTTACCTGTTCATAGACCACTAAATCGGTTATTCTACTTCGATGGGGATTATATCAATAAGTTTATGGTTAAGTCTTACTTGACATAGTTTTGGTTGTTAAGTCAAAGTTAACTTTATTTGTATTGGTGTAGTTAGTTTTATCTGAAGCATTTTCTTGATGCTCAGGTACATAGTTCGTCTGTCATTGGGGAATTATCTAATTGTCCGATTCTTTTTCGGATGATTTAAAGGTAACAGTAAAATAAAGAGCAGAATCTTGTTTGCTCTCAGGCCCGGATCTACGACTTTTTGGCCCCCTTCCTCTATCGTTAAAGGGGGTCCCTACGTTCCGCCGAACAAAGTAGAACTTTTAATTGACATTTTTTTGTAGTACGTAATATTTTTTAGGGATTTTCAAACATGTCCGTACCATCTGTGGCTGTTCAGTTAGGAAACTTTCATATAGTTTTCCCTGTTAGATAGGAAATATCCCGAGGGTCATCACTCATAGTAGTTTTGGTTTTAAGTAATGTTCTAGGGTTTTTACAATAGCCTTTGCCTTTTAGAATATCTCCCATATCTTGTTTCAAGAAAGGAAGATCAGTTATCTTAAATAATCTTTTGATAATATTTATTTGTGATACCATGCAAATAAGATTGACACTAGCATTGAAGTATCAGTTATGAGTTTCATTATCTTTAAGAGGGTGATTATTATTTTGGCATTTCATCACTTCACTATCAAAATATTCACTATCATCATCATTATTAGCTAATTAATATCCCCACTGCTGGGGCCTTCCTATTGATGGAGCCGGAAAGAGAGAACGGAGATAACCCACCTAGAGGTGTTAATTGGGATAAGTAAGTAAGTAGTAATAATATTTTTTTCGTCGCTTGGTTTCGACTGGGTTCAAATTATATCAATAGCAGTGCGTGCGATATTTAATTTGCGTGTTATTCTAAGTTCGATAATCCGCAACCCTATTCTGTAAAAAACTGCTTCGAACTCCCACTTTTTTTTACAAGACGTGTGTTTATAAGTGCTTTGTAACTTGTTTGTAACAATATTATTTGAATAAAAGGAGTTTTTAGAGGTAGTCTTTTTTTTAAATTAAAAGTCAGGTTGGTAAAGCCCTTGAAATTTGAAAAAAACAAAGGTATAATTACCCAGATATCATGTATATATATCATGACAATATAGAATACATCATTTCATAGAGAAACCTATAGACTTACCTACAATGGGTTTGAGACGTTGACATTGGATTCAATCAAAATGCACTCAACGATTGAACGTCGAGTGCAATTTGATCAAAGGCAATGTAGTTGAGCGGTGGACCTGTAGCAAAAAATATTTTTGGTCAAATAAGCCATCTGATCACTTTAGATATATTTTTCAATAGATTAAAGATTTAATTGTTTGTGTGAATTGAATAGGCTGTAAAACTATTGGACGGGTGTTAAAACTTTTGTCATCCACGGAAAGCCATATTATACGCACTATAATTAACGTAGGCAAAGTCGCGGGAAAACAGCTAGTTGTTATATACAATCAATATTTTGTTTCGTCATAACCTGTTGCGTAACTCTCCTAATATACACATTACCTACTTACCCCTTCAAGGTCACGTTACCACCGAAGGTTGTTTGTGTTAATATGGTAACGTAACATTAACTTGTTTTGATAAGAGGCAAATTACTTTCCTCATATTACTTGCAATGTTCCGTTGCTATGTGTAAGAAATAAGTTTAATATTGATCACTATCAGCCGATTTCTGAATTTGAAAAAATGTACAAAATTTCAACTGATTTTACTCAATAACTTAATTTTTTTACGTCTCACAAGTGACAAACTCCTGGTTTTATCAAAATGCTATCAATTGATCATAAAAAAAAACTAAAATCAGAAACGAAAACCTGTTTAAGTACCGTTTCAGACGTTCTTAAATATAAATTCTCAATTCAGAAACCGGGTGTGTAATAAAATTTTTCTAAATTCTTTGACCCATTAATAATATATATTTCAATTATTTATTTTATTCAAATATATAGTATTAAAAATACTCTAAATAATTGATAAGAATAAAAGGATTAATAAATAATTTATTATTTTTCTATTTGAGGAGGCGCAATAGTAGAACATATTTTCTTATTAACACGGAAGTGTTCAGTCCAACAAAAATATGTTAAATGCAATATTTATCTTAAAAGCATCATTATTAGGTTGCAGTATATAATTATAACTTTAAGAAATCATATCAAGTATGGAATATTCACTAATGGGAAACTGAAAGTACTTTTTGTTGCTGAACTAACAACTTAATGATAATGAACTAAAAAATTGTATTTATTGATTAGTTAGTGAAAAATTTTACCACTCTTTTCCATTCAAATAACACCACTCAAAAGAAAACTATTCCCTGAAATTTATGGGCATGTCCATGGCATAACTAATTGAACATGCACAAATTCCTTAAGGCAAGGTTGTAGGAAATTACAACTTTTTAAAACAACTTTATGAAACATAAATGATTTTATTAAAACTAAACACATGATCGATTGTTTGCTAAAACATTTACATACAGCAATTGGCTCGATAGAAAAAAAAAATGCAAATATGATAGATTTTTGGATAGATACAACGAAAAATATATGCAAAAATAGATTTTGATATAATTTCAAATCAAATAAAGGTATTTTTTTTTAATAAATGCATGTCTTTTTCTGTAATTAAAAATATATAAAATCAAGCGAGCGCGTTTTTATTCTCAATGCGTCTTTGTATGGGAACGCAACTGAAGGCTTTGTTACTAATTCTTTACATAAACACTGCTTTAAATGAGATTGACAAAAAAATTACTGGCGATATGTTGAGTACAATGTAAATTGCAGGTACGTTTTCTCTTGCAAGTACGTGACATTCATAGTTTTATAGCTATTTCCCCGTTAAATTCGCTTAGGTAAAAAAGATAAGCAGTATCAAAAACATAAAAAAAAATGGCAACAAAGACGCTACGATGATATCACGTTGATACGCAAAGATATAATTATTACTGTTCTTAGAAATACTTATTTTATTTTGTTTTATTAATCGTCTGTTTGGCGGTCTCGCCAATTAGCATAATAAACATCGATAACAGTGACGTACTTACCTCAATTAATGTTTCTATCTAAGCCGTGTCAACGCGTAGGTCAAAATAAATCAATATGAACTTACCAATACAATTGCGATCAATTTGCCTTGAGAAATGAGTTCAATCGAATCGGGATAAGCTTTCGATTTAGTGCACGTGGTCAAAATGAGCGCCGGTCCGCATGCAATTATACAATGATCATGATTTCATTATAACTAGTTTATTACTACATAGATGTTTAGTGGTAGTTGCGAACCATTTAGCGTAGAATAAATCTAATGTAACGAATGAAAAGAAAATTTTTTAGACTTTGCACATCAGTACGCGTTACAATCAACCGAGGTGAAAGAATAGATCGAAGTGTAAGATGTTTTAGAATTATATTAAAAATGTAATTTATATCAAAGATATAGTTAATTTAGTATTGGTGTTTTTTGATTGACAATGAAAAAAATATAGTATGATATACTATAACTCCTAATCCATCCTCACTTACACAATATCGTTCTATTTCTATTCTTCCAATACTATCTCAAGTCCTTAAATTCATCGCTCACTATCAACTTTACCGTTTCCTTGTATGTAATAACTTATTATGTCCTTACCAATCTGGTTCATATGTATATGGCCCTGCACATAGCACGGTTGATGCGCTGCTGAACATCATGGAAGATATTCGATGTGCTATGGATAATATGTCTATCCTTGATTTAAAAAAAATGGAGTTGAAGTTTGAAATACGACGTGATAATTTATATGATCAAAGTTGGAGGTAAAAGCTACTCATAGTTTCTTGATATATTACTTATACAAGATGAATCCCACTTTAATTGTGGCACGAGTAAACTATCATAGATTGACCGCTCATCATTACTTATTGACTTTTATATTTCTGCAATGTAAATTGTAGGAGCACAGTTTTTACACGTTATTTTTTTTTCCAGCAAATGGAGCTGAGTCCTTCATCTCGTTCGTTCAAGGAGTGGGAGGCGCCATCAGTGCCGCTATACTTTGAGATCTTCTTGTACAACTGGACTAATGCCGCCGAATTTCCCGAGGAGAAACCTAATCTCGTTCAACTGGGTAAGAATTAGAGAAATATTTACATATTGTCTTAGTCTCAGGTGCAGAGGTGATATTCGAATAAAAACCGAACTTGTTTTTACTTTTAAAAGCTTTCTAAACAAATATATATAAAAAAAACGTAATATATTGCTTCGATCCCAATTTAAGTAACTTTTAGTACTTGTATTTTAGAAATCCGAAAGAATAAAGGTTCTACAACATCTAGAGATAATGCAGAAAAATTCATTTTTTATTTTGAGCTGACCTGGAATTAAACCCGGAAGCTCCCGATGAGACGAGATTGCGAGGTCACATTTTACGAATGATGCAGAAAATAATGATATCTTAGATTACATTATAATGTCTGAGAAACGAGTGTTGAATTCTTTTTTTTTAATTAATGGCTTATCTGCGCATTTCGCACAAATCTGCCAATGTTAAGTAAATAAATAAATTTTTACATGTAAAATGAAAATGAAATGAATAAAAGATGGCGATGATCACAATGATCGAGTGTTGAATTATTAAGAGACAATGACAATAATTTGACACTTATTGACAATAATGAAATACTCATTGACCCTGTCCGTCAGCTCTGATTAATTTGCCTATTGAAAACAAGATGACGCTTCTGCTATTGAAAATTCTGTAGAAATAATTTGTTGTGCAATTGTTTGCTATTCAGTTTTTTCACATGGCACAATTAAATAAATATTTAGAAGCATTAGAAAAAAATAGACCCTGTTCTCTCTTAATGTCGAAGATCAGTATATCTCCTCGTCTGTTTTGCTTACGTCATAAAGGAGGACATTATATAAAAAAAAAATGGTTTCTGCTTACATCTCCTGACGTTTTTTGTATTTTCTTTATACTATAATTTTTTTACTTGCATATCATATGTGGTTTATATAATATGCAAGTAAAAAAAGGCTCATAACGTGACGCACGCAAGAATTAAGTTGATAGGTATTATCTGTGAGATTCATGTTGGCTGTTGTTTGAATGCCTAGGTAGGTATATTGCTAACTTTTAATGCCTTGTGTATTGCAGTAAGCTCCTTATATTTTGAAAAATATACTACTCTGGGCTGCGACTGCACACTCTCTAGCCATAGGATAAGACTTCTTAGCGATGTTATGGCGATATTTCGTTTCATTTAACTTTGAAATTTTTAGAACAGTTTTACATAAAAATTCTGATCTTAATTAGAAAAAAAATCAAAACTAATTTGGGGTGAATGGGAACCACCCAAAAGAAATTGCAAACCAATTATCGCATTGTCATTCCACTAATACATATTTTCCATACATGTAACATTATTTTCTTCTCTATTTAATTTAATAAATATTTATTTCGCCTGTTTGGGTGCATTGCCTGAACATTGTTGAGAATACGCTCTGTAATAGTGAAAAAGTAACAAATGCTTGAAGGATTAGTAGCTCAGTGGTTAGAGCAGTCGCCCGGATTGCGAAAGGGTCGAAACCCATCTCAGTGTGCCAGGCACCAAGTGGATTTTTTAAGCATTTCTTCACTAAGAATATTTTTCATTTTCATGCGAAATTGCTAAAATATAATAAGTTTTAGTTAATTAAAACTAATATACGTCTAATATCCTGATTTCGGTTCTCCATTTTTGATAAGTCACTAAACAAAAATTATTGCAAAGAATCAAACAAATTTCTTAATTGACAAGTGTTACCATATCTGTTCAATAATGTCTATAATAAAAATGTGGTTATTTGTGTGGCGAAAAACTACAATCAGGTTTTTCGATAGTTTATTTTGGACACGATTCGTCTTAAGCACGCTAGTCCTTGAATAATGAAAAATATTGATTATGCTTTGAGAAAACTTAAATCAGAAAAAGTAAAAGTGTTTAAGTATAGTTTGAGACGTTCTCGACTTTAAATTTATAATTTAGAAACTGGGTATAATAGTCTTAGATGTCCTTGTTTAGATCATGTTGGACAACACTGACCTACACTAATAAGTTTCTACCAAATTATATTTAGTACATCCTATTAATATTATAAAGGCGAAAGTTTGTAAGTATGGATGTATGGATGTTTGTTACTCTTTCACGAAAAAACTACTGGACGGATTTGGATAAAACTTTACAGCAATATAGGTTATACATCAGAATAACACATAGGGTACTTTTTACTGGGAAAACTTCTCACTCCCACGGGATACCGACTTCCACGCGGACGAAGTCGCGGGCGTCCACTAGTGTCAATTTATTTTAATCAAAATTATATCTATCCAAAATAATAATCACATATATCTGTACTGTGATAAAAGATAAAGTTGTATAAAAATACTTGTGACCACCTGTTGTTTGTGACACCAAACATCTAAGTAATAAAATTAATGGAAAATGCCAAATTACAAAAAGATATGCATAATTTGCGCGCACGCAACACGTGACATCAACCCAGGTGGGGCCCACAGTATATACATGGTTTACCTACGGATGGACACATGTTTGCTTAGCACGATAGCGTATATTTGTCAATAGTTTCAATACCATATATTATTATTATTAAATAGGATACATTAATGATGAAGTAGACATACGCGAATTGTATTTTTTTTTAGATTCATGTAATTCTTATACTTGATCAATGTTTGCAATCACAATGTTATACTCTATTGAATATACTTATATCGAAACTTTAAATATTTGTTAAAATATTTCTTTCGGCTTTTTGAGTAGATTACCGGAACATTGATGAAAATACGATCTGTAGTAGTGAAAAAAGTAACAAGAGCTTGAAAACTTCGTCAGTCCTGTTAGGTCCTGGGTAGCTCAGTGGTTTGGGCAGTCTGGGCGATTGCGAAAGGTCATGGGTCCTGAGTGCCATTGACAAAGTGGATTTTTAAGGATTATCCATTAAGAATTTGTCATCATTCAACAAAAAATCAAATCACAAGTACCTATGTAAAAAAATAAATTAAAATTACACCAGAAAAATATAATTATATATACAAACAATTTTAAATTAATCAATGTTCAAAATACCTTGTTCTCGGTAGTGTCCCTTTACACTAGTCACAAGGAAAGTAATAATAACCTTACCGTATTAGAGAAATTTCTTCCAGCAACTGCAATTTAGATTGAACAGTAATGTTGGGCGTTAAACAATGAATTATTAAATCAATATGTTAATTATCTAAAAACTATTTGCAATCAAATTAATTAATCGCAATTAAGACTTTAGTTGGACGCTACAATGGATTATGAAATTGTTTCGTCGCTGTTAGATTATTTTTTGGGTCGGCTAAACGTGCCATCCCTTATTCAAGATATTGCCGGTTGTTAAGAATTAATAGTTATTGTTTCGGCTACTAGATAGCGCTACATTATTTGTACATTGCGGTATAGTTTCAATTGTTTTTGTAAATATATAGTCTATAATTAAAATGCCGATTTAATGAAAACTATTTTCTTTCTATTCCATAAATCTTTTTGGGACAGTGTTCACCGGTGTATATTAGTCAACTATACTCCATTCATTATAACATTAGAAATAAGAGTATCACAGAAGCAGCAGTGCAGAACATTTTATTTTCAAGATATTTTTAATAATATATATAATAGTTTTGTTGAAACTTTGAACGTTAAGTAGTCTGAAAGAATTGGGCAATTTTCCATTTTCTTTCGCGATGAGGATAGAATTTTCTAAATTCATATTTGACTCCCAAGCCAATATGGAACTATAACTATCTATCTGTTGTTTTTATAAATTCTAATTGTAAGAGTATAATTAGAATAGTTTTTAGTTATATTTATGCCCAGGAAAGAAAGGTAAACAAAATTAAATTTTTATTATTACTTTTATTACATTTATTCAGATATTATTTAAGATATTGGAAAAACTTCCTGAAATGTCAGAGGTAATTGTTGTAGGCTATTCGGACCTGCACCGAAATCGTCCATATTTAGCAATACTTAACTTCAAAAAGATTACAACTGAAACAAAACTATAAGAGAACAACAATAATACAATAACAGCTCAATCACGGAATACTATAAAACAACAAGAAAGGCAATAAAATTGACAATTAATGAGAATCCGAGATTACGTATTTTGACTATTATGAATACGTCATAATCTGACAAAATTGAAAAGCTGTACTACCGAAACGATTGAAGGGATTAGGCAACGTTTTATATTTGTTAGAGTAATAGTGACATGAGAATCGTGCCGAGAGTATCCAACCCTGCTTCTCTAGGTTCTTTAAGATGAACACTTTTTATTGTAAAAGTTATAAAATCTTTTAAGTTAGTCAAATACTCATAATTATGTTTAACAGGTAGCTTAACCGACAACCGTTAAGTATAGCAGCTGGTATTTAAGTGGATATGTAGCAAATAAGCCGTCATTCTTAAGAGTAACATGATTGTTAATATTTTGTCACAAAGTAAACCATAAAAAGAACCTTATTTAACTTCTGTCTAATGCTATAATTAATGGAGTATAAAGACTCCAAAGAAAAAGTGTGTACTTCACAAATGTTCATATATGGTTCACATGCACAGTCTCTCATTAACGATGATAAAAATGTTGCATAATGAGATGACGATAATTGTGACACTGATGGTGTCGCTGATAACATTTGTGGTGCAATGATAAGATGAAGGTAACTCGATGTGTTGGGTGTCAAAGGTGACATTATAAGACGTGCAGATAAATCCGATCCTGATATCGATGATGAATGTTTGCAACTAATTTACTGTAATTTAACTTTCCTTATTTCATATGCCAGCTTCAATGCCCCTTTAATTTTTAAAGTATTATTCTGATATTTTATTAATCTCAAATTCTCTCTAATCTCTTGTAGTTGTAATAATTTTCATTTCAAAGAATACGTAGGTATTTTGCTTGAGTTAAATATTCAAGTTTTTGTTGTTAAAAAATTTAAATATATTTCTTTTTATGACAAAATTAATTAAATATTATTATATAAATAAAAAATATATTTCTTCTTTTAGTGATACAGTTTAAATGCCATGATCATACTGATGTAGTAGATACTTCGATAAATTAGTGTTTAGGGGTGTTTATGTAATTGAATATAACAGATTTCTCTATATGGCGTAGCGCTACTGTCTAGCTTTTTTACATATAAATTTATAAAATACATAAATACGTAAAGAGATACGATATGATATATTAGATCAATTTTGAATTTACTGGAAAATATTCTTAATGAAAAATGTTTCAAAATCCACTTTGTCCCTAATACTCTGAAATGGGATTCGATCCCACGACATTTCGCAATCCGGGTGACTGCTTTTAACCACAAGCCACCCAGGACCTTAACAGGACTGACGAATTTTTCAAGCACTTGTTACTTTTGCGCTTATACAAAGCGTAGTATCATCAATGTTCATTGTTCAGGCAATCCACCAAAACAGCCGCAAGAAATATTTTAAACTTTCGATAAAGATTAAAATTTGGTCTTATTATTATATTTTGTCATTCACAATGGTAAAATAAAGTACCAGGAGCAAAGTGGTTATTAAGCATTTTTCATTAAGGATATTAATCATTTGTTAATCTTTCATAGTTGCAATTAAACTTTGCCTTACACTACTGGACAGTTATTTATAAAGAATGGTATTCCACACAGCATAGCTTTCTCATCTGATTTTTTCCCTTTTTAATTAATTTGAGAAGTGATTATACCTCTGTGTTTTTCCTCTCTGATATCAATTTAAAACACAAAGGAAGTTGATTCTTTTTTAATTCAAAATAAAGTTTTTATTTGGTATTTGTAATTCAACATGAAAATGACTAGAGATTGCCAATTCTTTGACTTACCACACGACTAGTCCATAATAATTAAATTATCTACTGTTTGTTTTTGGTGTTTTAAATCCCATTTCTTCGTTTCCAGGCCCGTACCGGTTCAGGGAACACAGACGCCACGTGAACGTGACCTGGCATAAGAACAACGACTCCATAGCGTACCGCACACTTAGGAGCTGGATATTCGACCCCACCAGTAATGGCACCCTGCAGGACAATATCACTACACTCAACGTTATAGCTGCTGTGAGTTTTCAATATTTATAAAATAAACTTAAAAAAATAATAGCAAGTAAATATTATACAATATTAATTACTCAATGTACGTACAATATTAAATAAAGTAGCTTAAGCACGTGTATTATCGAAGACACTACAACACCCGACATATAGATAAAATAATTTTCTCAATTGACACAACCTGGAATAGAACTCGAGACCTCATGGTAAGGTGCTAGCACAACAACACAAAGTAGTATTTTGTTATTACTTATGTTTCTAAATTTATTGTTAATGAAAATTTTTTAAAAATCTACTTGCTTCAGGTACCCTGAGATGGGGGTCGAACACGACCTTTTGCTATCCGGGCGACTGACGAATTGTTACTTTTCGCTACTAGAGGTCACTAGAGGTGTACCTGGGACAAGTGGATTTTCATTTCAGAATATTTTTTGGGATAATATTGTGGATGAAAAATTGAACAAATATAATGAGTTACAATATTTTTCCTGCAGGTGTAGAGATGATAATATTTTTTAATCTATTATGTTTATACCTCTGATTAAAAAAAAAGATAAGATCTAAACATCTATTAATTATTAGTAGACTTTAAAAAAACTGTTTCCCAGACTGTCACAACTGCCTAATAGGGGGTCATCGCTCTAATATGACATATTATCTCAGACTACGCCTATAATAATTAGTGTAATGACCTTATAAATTAATATTTTTTTCTGATAAACTGTATCACAAACAATAACATCATATGTAAGTATTGTGATGTAACTCCTTTATTTTGCAATGTTTTCAAAACTATTACAAGTTATAAACGAATGAACAGTTGTGAAAAATTTAAAGTTTAATTATTTTTAAATGAGTAATTTACGTGATATATTGCGATTGAAATGAATATTAGATAATAATTCAAAACTCAATCCAAAGCGGATACATACCTCAATCATCTAGACCTGAAACAATACAGAAAAATTAACTATCTGTATTGACCCAGCTGGGTAAACAAGACAGACAAGATTAGTGACGCGAAGAGAAAATAAGATTATTTTCCAGCTTTTCAAGCACTTTTATAAATAGCCCACATATCCTACTTATGCCATAGTGAGTAGAACATGTATTAATAGCTTAAACACTGAAAATTTTGCAGTCAGCCGTATTCCGGTCGAGGTTCTGGGGCTTCTTCCAACAGAAGGGCTTATCAATGGGTCTGGCGATGTTCGGACAAAAGGTATCCGTGTCTAAGACAGCGAGGGAACTGCTTTTCGATGGTTACGAGGACCCTTTGCTGGATCTGGCTAAGAGTCTTCCGCCCAGCACTACTGGAGGTGCACCGCCTGTGGATAGGTTCGGATGGTTTTATGAGGTAATCTTGCCACTGGTCTCCTTTTTTCGCACCAAGAATTTTATAAGCTCTTTTTTTAAAGGAAAAAGTAGATGATCGGTAATGGTATAAAAATATACTACTTCTGCATTGTTGACATCATATCTGTTTGTAATTCACCATTTGTTTACTCATAAGAGATACTAGATAAATTCAGTATAACAAGCATTTTCTATTACCATACCACTGATTCACCGTTACAATTGATTCAAATGGCGTGATTATTCCAGAGAAATAATTCGATGGATACCGAAGGCCACATGGAGGTGACGACGGGGAAGACCAGGGGTACCTTGCCTGGCCAGATCCTCCGATGGAACTATTTGGACCGTCTGCCGTATTATGAAGGTGAATGTTCTAAGGTGAGGCAGGAATAATTCTCAAGTTTATTTTATATCATGCTCTTTTATTTCTTTTTTTTTTTAATCCAGAATCATTTTTTTTTATTTAGTTTGGCTGGTTGTTATTTTACTTTTAACGTGGAAGCAATTTTACAAGCAAAAAATTTGTACCATATAAAATCTCTTTGCAGTTGGAAGGCAGTGTTGGAGAGTTTCTCCCTCGGGACTTAAACGAGGAGTCGAGACTGACGATGTTCATGCCCGACCTCTGTCGGACGGTAAACCTGGATTACCGGTCCAGCGGTGAAATGTTAGGGCTCCAGTACCACAAATATGAGATATCTGAGAGCAGTTTTGATAATTGTAAGTTAAAATATGATGTGTGTTATTTGCCCTAAAGTGTTTGCTTGTATTACTTGCACACAACACTCAAAATGATACTGAAATTGCCCTATTACGCAGAGGCAGAGGAAATTCTAGACAGTTTGAAGATTTAATATCGCAGGTGCATTGCTGTTATGTAAGAATGCGGTCGGTGTGAAGCGATACTGCCCCTGTACATTTACTTGTGTAAAATACAAATATGCGTGGACGTATATTTGTCGGTCTTAAATATAACCCTGATCCGTTTGTTGCTAATCCCTATTCTAGAGGTCCGTTTAAGAGGAGAGGTTGAATGGATAAAGTTCTTAAATTGATGATACTTTAATATGTGGAAACCACTCAGTATCCAAATCGGAGGATGCTGGAATTTCTATCAATTGCAGAATGTGTTGGTTCATTACATATATGAAAGTTTGAGTATTTTATCTCAACTAATTAGTACCTATTATTGATTTGGATTTAATTTGGCAGAATGGTATCGCCTTTTCCGTTGCCATATTATTTTCTCATGGTCATAGTTTGAATAATAGCGTGTCACCTACAGCCTCGAGGATACCACGGTAGCTAGACCATTACTAATATCTTCCCAAGCAGCAAATTTCAGTAGGTACCATAGAAGCTTCAAGAACGTTTTAGCACTATATTTATCATCATTTTTGGAGCTGATTTTAACATCGTATACTGAGACATGCTGAGTCACCGTGTTACATTTTTTGCATGCTCGTCAATTTTTAAATAGGTATTAGGAAGCAAATTTAATGCATGTTATTTTACGTATTCCATATTTCTTTGCCACCCAACTGCACTGGGTATCGAGTTACAGGTATACTGTAAGTAATTCAGCATATTGAAATAGGAAACGTTAGGAAATTCTTGCATATTGTTGTCATGAACTCTTGCATTAATTGTGATTGTGCTCGTCAGCATCACGGTCGGAGCGCAACAGTTGCTTCTGCGCGGGCGCATGCGCGTGGGGCGGCGTGATGAACGTGTCCGCGTGCAGGTTCGGCTCGCCCACCTTCATATCGCTGCCGCATTTCCTCCACGCCGACCCCGCCCTCGTGGAAGCCGTTAGCGGAATGCATCCAGATCCTAAAGAACATTCCTTCTACTTCGCCGTCGAGCCGGTAACTATTATTTTTCTTTATAAAACCATTCATTTAATTTAATTACTTTCTTAAATGAAACTTTACCTCCACTTTTAATAGAATTTTAACGTAACAAACACTAATGCGATCATTATGTTCTGTAATTGCAATTTATTACGTCTGTAGTGTTCAATGTTGCTGAAAGTTTACCGTTTGCTATACCTACCGTATACATCGATAGCATCTATCTGAAGAAAGAGATGAAAATAAATATTAGCAAACTTCATACTCGGTGACCAAAAAGGTCATATATTAGTTTTGCACCCTGGAAAAGATAAACTCCTTTGTAATATAACACAGTATTTACTAGTACAAATAATGTAAGTATGACAAGGTTTGTATTGCAAAGGTTAAGAAACTTCTCAAAAGCCCAAATGGTAACCCAAATAAGCTTAATTGCAATCGCTACAAAGAGATAGTGATTGTCCTGGCGATGATTTTGAAATATCCAATAAGGCAGGTAAGCTGACGTGATTAACATCGACATTTTTATATACATATATGATTCTCATTAAATAAGATCTCAAAAATACATTAACTAGCTGATAATATCAAATTTTGCAGCAGTGGCTTACTGATTACTATTCTGTTATAGAGAATCGGTGTTCCTGTAGAAGTAGCGGCCAGGTTCCAAGTCAACGTTTACCTAGAGCCGAGTCCAAATGTAGCGTGAGTATTAAAGTGTACATTGTTGAAAAAATCAATTATTTCAAATAATCTTTTTCCCGATTAAATAAACGTCTCAAATAATTATTTATTACTATTCATCTACAATAAATAAGAACTTGTATTTGTATTCACGGAATTAAATTGAATATAATAGGGATGATGACAAATTTTTGTTTGTTTGTCCGTCAGGTAGTATTAAAAAATATTAAACACGTATTTTTTTTTTTCGCAATCAGAAATTTACGGCGTTACATTGAGTTGAAATTTCGCATGACGTCACGTTATGGTAATTTTTCTACTTAATAATGTTATCTAAGCTATTTCTTGTTAATTTGAAGTAAAAAGAAAAAATACGTATCTAATATTTTTCTATTATCTGACTGACGGACTAAATAGAATTGCATTTTTTTTACCCAGTCATCATCCCTATTGTACATATTTGTAGAAACGAGTAAATGGTTAAATACCTGTCTATGTATTCATTCAAGATCCGTACCATCATTTTAAACCAGTTCTGTTGAACTAAATGCCAAGTGTTAAACAAGTACCAATATCGGTCCTAAGTGTTGATAGTAGGCCAGTAGTTTAATTAACCTTTATCAAAACACATTTGAATTTTGAAGACGTATCGTAAGTTTCCACACTTTTTCTGATAGCATTGTTTAAAAACATATATCTTTTTGAAAAATAAATAATGCCATTAAACTCTCACTGTTAGATAATTTATCTATCCATCCATTCATCTTGTTTACTGACTGAAATTCAGATGGCTGTTCTTCAATCGGTTAAACCGAGCATTTTGTGTACTTCGCCTTAACACCTAATAATTTAAACATAAAACCGAAATTTATGGACATCGTACCTGTGACTAGGCCGAACGTATGTACCTGTTACACATTAACATAGTTCCATTTATATATGAGGTTTTCTCTATTAGAAACAACATCCACAGCCTAATACAGACCATTTTGTTGGTTCAATTTTGTAAGTAATATTATTGTCGACACAAGTCTAGGTTTTCATGAAATTTTATCATCAATAATTGAAATATAGTTTTTACTTTGTTTCATTTTTAATATTTGTTCCCAGTGTTTTCATAAACCATAGAGTCCATAATGTAAGTATTTTTTGACGACAGCGCCCCTAGCGGTATCTACCAAGAAATACAAATTTTCAACGCGCTTCTAGTGAACGCGTCAAAAACCTCACACTTACCACTCATATTAACTAGTATCTAATATGTTCGGTTATCTGCAGACTGTACGAGAACGTGCCCCGCATGCTGTTCCCGGTGTTCTGGGTGCAGCAGCGGGTGTCGATGTCGTCGTCGGTGGCGGCGGAGTTGTGCGTGGTGCGGCGCGTGCGCGAGTGGGGCGCGGCCGCGTGCGCCGGCGCCGCGCTGCTGCTGGCCGCGCTCGCCGCCGCCGCCACCTGCTGCCCCGCCGGAACCGCCGCACCCGCCGGAACCGCCGGAACCGCCGCCCGCCGGAACCATCTCCACGACAACCTCGCCGCCGCGGAGGACCGCCTGAAGCTCAACTGCTGCCCCTCGCCCCTCGACTACGAACATGTCGACGCAGCTAAAGAAGACCACCTCAAATTGAATCCGATGGGATAGCTTTAGTTTGAAGACGGTTGTGGAAATTATTGTGGGGTGTAGCGTAAACTCGTTTTGGCGTCGACGTGGTCTTTCAGTAGTATTCCGAATCTGTTATACAGTTGAAAGGTTAAGCTGGTGAATTGCACCATACCTACCAATTGTGATGATAAGGTTACTGACCCATGTAAGTTGATAGTAGAAACCGATTAGTGTTTGCTTATACATATTTTATAAGTATGCACGTTTGGAAGTGATGGTATTAATGCTGTACATAAAACTATATTTTTGTAATCTATGTACGATTTTGTAGATATACTTAGTGTTCTATTGAATAATTTATTTTGATATTAAAAGACGACGCTATCTACATGTAACGGATTAATTTGTACATATCTATAAGTCGATTTTAGAAACCAAAATTCTTCAAGCCATGAAATTGTAAGTAGGTTAGTTATTAGGTACTTTATGTAAAAAATATATATTTTCTAAGATTATTTACAGTATTATAATATCTGTAGCTATAATTATATATCGAAAATATAGAGTATAAAAACAAATATATCCAAATTAAATATAATTAAGTTTCTATTCAATATTTAATGTGCCATATAAATTACGAGGAGATTCGTAATATTGCGACCAAAAATATTATCTTAATACATATATATATATATAGTGTAATGTTAGCTACAATATGAAGAGCTTTATGAGATTTTTTTTTTTTATTTATTGGAAAAGGTACACCAACAGTATATATATGATACATTGAAAATTATTATTTGTTAAATTTAAATATTCTTATATATATACCCATTACTGGCATACATAACGTTTACTGTAGGAACAATGATGTGATTACAATATTAATAAATTAATCAAGAGTATATAAATACATATAAGCGCCGCGGCCCGCGATCGTAGTCGTTAAGCAACTTTCGCAAGGGTCGGTCACGGGATGGGTGACCAAAAAATTATTATCTCGAGCTACTCCGTGCTTCGGAAGGCACGTTAAGCCGTTGGTCCCGGCTGCATTTGCAGTCGTTAATACCCTCCAATCCGCATTGGGCCAGCGTGGAGGGTCATGGCCCATCCTCCTTAACCATCCATAAGGAAGGCCTGAGCCCCTGCAGTGGGGACGTAAAAGGGCTTATGATGATGATATAAATACATAAATATAAATGAGATTAAAGAGATACAAATATTGTTATCATGAAAGCTTCATATCAGTACCGTTATTTTTAACGTAAATTCATAGCGAACTGTAATTAATATAGCAACAATTTATTACATTTTATTTCAAGTTTAAGCTTGTCCTGTAAAATTTTTATTTTTTTCATAAGTAGTAAATTTTTAATTGATTCAATTTTTTCAAAGAAATTTTACTGAAATACAGTAAATATTTACTTAAAACTTTTTATAGCGAGTTTTGCGCAAAGGTGTATCATAAATTATTGATTCGACGACACACGCAAGTACGGATCCAGGGCGATAGTCACTGGGGTCATGACCCCCCATAGGCCGGATACAGGACCAAGGTGGACTACTAATAAAAAATTGTATTTAAACAATTGAAATTGAAATTTAAACAAAATTTAATTAACATAATACTTACCATAATTTACTTTTTATGACTTGAGCACGACTATGTGGTCC